GTTAATCTCTTGGGCGTTTGATTCCTATAGATAGGAGGTATTGTACAATATAAAATAGACCTAAAAATGGTAGATTTACATATATAGCATGCACCTAAACCTCAATTTTTGCATATATGTCACGACACCTATGCACAAAAAAGTGTATTCCACATTTTTTATGCATAGAAAATGTAGCATGTATGTAAAAAATTGAAGTTTAGATATCAGATATGTACAAGCATAAGAATTTCGTAGTATGTATGTAAAAATCCCATTTAAAATATCAGTCAAATTTAATTTGACTTCGTTCAAGTCATTCTAAGCAAAAATCTTGCATAAAACTTTGCGCACACATTTTAATGATCTCATAGTCAAATTTTTTTAACTATTATATTCATGAACTTTTTGTTTGCTTTTGCTACGTATGACATAATTGCCCTGTTTTTTTTATTTATTTTTGTTTTATACATAGTTAAAATATGTTTCTTGTTTATATTTTGCACATTTCTCATTTTACATGCATATACTAATCCTGATTATTTTTGTTGTTATTCCTATTATGATGGTCACAGGTGGTGTTGGTGATCAGCCACCTCAACGGGTGAATGTAAATAAAAAATTATTCTATATATATTTATTTTGGCTCTTAATGTTTAGAATGACAATTAATAATTTGTTTTGTTATGAAGGGGGAGTACGGGCAGCTCCGGGAGAGACAGTTGCCCTCCCTGACCTCGAGCACTGCCAACAACAATAGTAGTTAGTCACAACTGTGGGGTCTAAGTTTGAGCTATGGACGTAGACAACGGGGAAGAAGAAGGTCGAGATCCCTCGTGCTTCTGTGGGTGGCACGAGCTTGTCACACCCGAGTAATGAGGAACTTGCCAGGCAGATCACTATTATGACTAAGGAGGTTTACCATCTACGAGAAGACCAACATAAAATTGAGTGGAGTATATCACACCCAATCGTGATTATAGAAGATCGTTGGGGCAACAAAACGGTGACTACTGTAGTCTAGTCAAGGAGGAGGATAAAGAAGAGGAGGATGAGGAGGAGCATTAGAAAGAGTTTTTATGTATTTTTAATTGATGAAATGTTTGAACCTATATTGATTAGAGTATTAATGTAAACTTTTGATAATTTAAATTTGTGAAAATATCATCTTTTTCAGCATTGATATTTTTAAGAGCTTTGATTTGTGATATAGTTGGATATAATGTTACAGTAATGTAGATTAAATATTGTGTGCAGGTTGTCGAAATGTAATTGATTTTTTTTTTTGTTATTTTTTCGAGTTTTGCATCGGATTTGCGTCCATTTTACGTCCAATAATCTGACACGTTGTCCATCGAACTAAACTCAATGCAAATCATACAAAATTATTTATCGTCTGATGTTTTCAGATACAAAATTCAATGCAATTACGGACTAATTCTGATTGTATGACGATGAACTAATCGACACTAATATTTTTTGTTGGATTATTTCGATACATAATTGATGGAATTAAGATTAACAGCCTTTGAATTACCCTCTGAAAAATCAGACGTAAATTTGAAGCAAATCCAACGATAATACTTAAATAGCGTCAGCTTTACGTCTGATTTGACCGACACAAATTTGCTGAATGCCTGTAGTGAGTTTTGCTCATGCAAATTCATCTTTCTTTAGGAGAACAATGACAGACACTTCAATTATAATAAAATTCCTAGTAAACCTTATAAAAATGGCAACTAAATCATGGAAGCTTTTGAAATTTATGAAATTCCAGGGGGTTCGCCAATCTAGAATAATTTTATTTTTTTAGAAACATTCTGTCCTTTGCAGATATCAAAATATTAAGAAAGATGTCTTCAATCTGACTAAAAAAATAACTATTTTGAAAAAGTTTGTCTTCTCTAAATATAGTTAAAATTTATCTAAGTGATTTAATTGCACTTTCTTATTTCACATGTAAATGAGAATGCATTAGGGATTTGCCATTAAAAGATTTTAAGACAATACACATTAATCTTATGAATATGTTAGGGGCATTAGATAAACCAAAAGACATTAACAACAATTCATAAAGACCATCTTGGATTTTGAATGTTTTTTTTCACTCATCCCCTGGCCTAATCTTGATCTAATGACGTCCAATCTATAAAAAAATCCTTGAGAAATAATCAAAGCTAGCCAAAAGGTCAAGCATATCATCTAATTCGAGGATCATAAACCTATATTTTACAACAATATCATTTATAACTCTACTTCCTATGGATACTCTCTAGGAATTATCCTTCTTGGGGGCCAAAAATGTTTAAACTACACAACGACTCAGGCTTACTTAGTAGATGCAACTTCTTAACAATTCACCTACTTGTACCTTAAGCTTAGCATGTTCTATGGGGTTCATTCAATAATGTGATAAGTTAGGTAATTGAAAACCTAATATGAAATCGATGGCATGTTGAATATCCTTCATTGGCGATAAATCATTTGGTAGATCATCGAGGCATAAATAACTCAGTAAGCTCATCTAATAGGTCTGAGACCACAACATGTATGTGTTGCCTAACAAGACTAGGTTTGACTTCTCTCAAATAGAGTATATGAAAAAGGTGAGGATCAACAAATTCTATTTGAATCCAAAATTTTCTAGTTTAATATATAAAGGGGATGACAAAAGTATAAGATGTTCAATAAAAAAAGTTTGAAGCAACCTCCTTAGTAGTGGGGGATGATATCACTATGAGATTAAGCTTAGCACTTTTTTTGACTAGACTTGGAATGAATTTGAGAATTGGGCTTAGGTGAGATATAAACTGCAAATTTTTCTACTAGCTTTTTTGAAAATAATTTAATAATTCTTTTTCATTATGCTTAAACATACATTTTAACTGCCATAATATATCACATTCACATTATAGAGCCAGGGTGCTTAGTAGAATGTGTTATGTCCATAATCAGAACATTAAACCATGAGAGAAGTGGGATTGCAATTACTAAAGCAATTATATGTGCCTATTGTCTAAAATAAACAAAACCCAATAGCATGCAAGTGCGGATTTAGGGTTATGATATGATAAAAGTATGGAAAGTTGGAAATACAAGTTATTTAAACTTGTAACTAGGGGTGTAAACGAGGCTTGTTTATATTTCGAGCTCAAAAATTGTGTTCGTGTTCGGCTTAAAGAGCCAAACACGAGCTGTTCACGAACAAAGAGCCTTTTAACAACCCTAATCATGTAACCATATGACATAAGACAATAAGAGTTTGAGCAAGATTTAAAAATTATTATTTATATTAAATTATCATTGAATCTAATTTAATAATTTTTATTCTATTTTCTTAATTATTATTTTAATTGATTATAAATCTTTGTAGTCTGGTAGTCAATTAGATTTTCTTAAATACTACTTTATATATATATAGCCAAAACTAGCCGAACACATCTTAGTTCGTGTTCGGCTCGTTAACTTATCGAACAAAATTAACGAACCGAACACGAGCATCTTAACGAGCCGAACACGAGCTGTTCGCGAACAACGAGCCGTTTTGACAGCCCTACTTGTAACCCCTAGGAATCATTTTATATTCTGATAATATATATCAATAATTGTTAACAACATGCCCATTAACATGACATAACATATGCTCAACACTTATTCTACAAATTCTAAAATTTCTGTCATCTATAAACATTTCATCCCTCATTTTAATTTTAATTTATTTTATTAGATTCTTATCAATTAGAATTATACATCTGCAAGAAGCATACACTAATGTAGTTTGCTTTCAATATCATTTTAAAACATATCTATAACTAATTAATTTATATATATAAACTAAGGGTCCGTTTGTGGCAGTTTGTGCGTTTTATGATAAACTGCTTATCCTGAAACGCGGCCCATGGGCCGGCAGCGGGGGTCGACCCGCAACCTGCGTTTCGTGTAAAAACCCAAACGCAGTTTCGGATAAGCTGGTGAAACACACGAACCAAACGATACAGCGACATTTTAAAAACGCCGCCCACACTTATAAGCTGCCCCAAACAGACCCTAAAAGTTATTCTTACTGTTTAAAATTAGCGACTTCAGACGTGCCTCAACACAATTCAACCTGGAGGCACTCGAGATGCACACTTAAAATATTTGGCAAGTCCCAGCTCAAGGCTTCTCTCTCTCTCTCTCTATATATATATATATATCTCTGAAGTACTAGTCTATTTTGTGTGGTCAGACTTTCTTTCAGAATCACACCTCACAATCTTTTACGTGAGAAAATAATTATTTATAAATTTGTGAGTTCACTTGCATAGCTTAATGTTTATATTTCAACAGATATGTTCATTATTGCAAGAACATATTGCATTAATTTATATTCTTTATTTATATTATAAGATCATCCATCACTACGAAATCAAATAAAGCTTCTTATTCATTAATGTCTCATATTCCATACCCACCAGAACCCTCTCATAAACAATTCTTCATTTAAATCATTTGATGCGGACGTCTCCTACTTTAGGAATAGACATAGGACTCCTGAAACCAAAGTGGGCTTCCGCCTACTTGCCAGGATCGAACCAATCCGAGTCATACTTTGACGTGGAGTGCAGGCTGGTTCCTTGACAACTCTTAGTTATCCTCTTATTATAAATTTACTTTAGTAGAAGTTTGGGCTACCTTTGTCGTGTATTTATTTGGGACAACCGAGAACTTTAACAACTTAGCTAATTGCACCTTCAATGTCGTCGGCTCGCTGCTCTCTCTTCTCCGCGGCATTTCACCGGAATTCAACGTTGCCAAAGCGACGGAGGTATTAGCAGTGTCATTGTTCTTTATGGAAACTATAATTTTTGAGAAAACTTAATATTTTTAGGTGCTTTAATTATAAATACATAAGATTATGTGTAAAATTTGTAATATAGAATGTTTGGG